CGCCATCATTCTAGAGGAACTGCAAATCCCATACGAAGTCGTCCCGGTCCCTTTCTCTGACGTCAAGAAACCCGGATACGTCGCCATCAACCCCAATGGACGTCTACCATCTATCCGCGACCCCAACACCGGCATCACGCTGTGGGAGTCTGGTGCCATCGTCGAGTATCTCATCGAAACATACGACAAGGAGCGCCGACTGAGCTTTGCCTCGGGGACAACCGAGTTCTGGCTCGCCAGGCAGTGGCTCTACTTCCAGGTCTCTGGACAGGGTCCGTACTACGGCCAGGCGGGGTGGTTCAAACTGTTCCATCCGGAAAGGCTACCCAGTGCTCTTGATCGCTATCTGAAAGAGATTGAGAGGGTGGTAGGGGTGTTGGAAGGGCATTTGGCTCGACAGAAGCAGGAGAGCGCTGCTGGTGGCGATGGACCGTGGCTTGTCGGCAATAAATTGTCTTATGCTGACATTGCCTTTGCTCCCTGGCAATACACGGTCGGCAAGGCCTTTACCAAGGACGAGTTCGACCAGAGCAAGTATCCGCTGGTGGACGAGTGGTTTCACAAGATCGCAGCTCGACCTGCAGCTAGGAAAGTGTGGGACCACCCTGAGAGCGCGAACTGAGGACTGTTGGCTTTTGAGGGAGGAGATATTGGAGTCTTCACAGATATACGAGAAGGATACCATACTACCACCTCGTGATCGACCTGATGATTCTGCAGGTATGGAACATGGTGTTGTCAAATACTTCCTACCACTAACCCGATTCGCATTGTACCTAGTAAGCCGTCGGCCAATGGCCGCCGCCCTCCCGACGGCCGAATAGACGACGGTGATAAGCGACATCCATAGCGCGCGTGTACGACTGACGCTGGAGATGTCCGACGAAACAATACAAAGATCGAGTTATGGTTCGCAGTTCAGTTATAGGACGAATAGATCTTCTCCGTTGACGTTGTTTCTTGGAGCGATATATTTGCATGGTCGAACGGGGGCCGGAATAGTTGTTGTAATAATTTCCACGTCTACGAGTATGGCGGCGGCGGCGGCGGTCGAGATTCTCAAATTTCCTACATCGTCTCCGGCGGATACGACGCCTCTGGAGAGGCTGAAAGAAGCTGGGTATGACGCATCCCAGATCCTAGCTGTGGTTGGCAAGACCGAAGGTATGCATTGATTGACCGTTCTCCGCCTTCGTTTCGTCTGGCCTTGCCGACTACTCCCGCTCCCCCATACACACGACCTCTTTTCAATGCAAAGGGAAGGAAGAGCCCAGAACATACACACACACACACACATATATATATACAAGGGATCAAAAAACAGAAAACGGATGAATGCTAACTAGCATCACTACTTTCCTCAAAAGGGAATGGCTGCGTCAACGACTTTTCCCGCACGCTCGCGTCTGCCGTGTGGGAACCACTGATCCCAAAGGACGCCGTGACCATTTTCTCCGGCGGAACCGAGGGCGTGCTCAGCCCGCACGTCACGTTCTTCGTGCGCGCCCGGGACGGTCGGCGCACAGGCCTCGTCGCCTCGATCGGGCGCACGCGGGTTCTGGAGCCTCACGAGGTCGGCACGCCAGAACACGCCGCGCAAGTACAACAGACGGTGCGCGGGATGATGCGCGCCGCGTCCCTCGCGGCGGGGGACGTCCATCTCGTCCTCGTCAAGTGTCCGCTGTTGACGTCGGCGAAGATCGAGGCCGCTCGCGCACAGGCCCGCGTGCCCGTCACGACAGATACGTACGAGTCCATGGCCAGGTCGCGGTACGCGAGTGCCGTGGGGATTGCGTCCGCGCTGGACGAGTTGCCGCCGGACGGTGGCCGGCTCGAAGACGTCCTGGCGTCACAAACCACCTGGAGCGCAAAGGCGAGCTGCAGCAGCGGCGCAGAGCTGGAGGACTGCCACGTCCTTGTCCTGGCGACGGATCCGGCCGCTGCGGGAGGGGAAACGACTTACAACCTGCACGCCCTCTCGCGGTACATGGCCGACGCGATCGACGCGGCCGCCATTCTCGCCCTTCTCGAGACGGTAAAGAGCCACAACGGCACCGTCGTCCAGGTCTTTGCAAAGGCCGAGGCCGATCCAAGCGGCCACGTCCGCGCGTGGCGCCACACCATGAACACGGACAGCGACATCCACAGCACCCGCCACGCGAGGGCCGCGGTTGGCGGCTTGATCGCTGGGTTGGTCTCTGATTGTCAGATCTACGTCAGTGGAGGGGCGGAAGGGCAAGGGCCAGCAGGCGGTGGGAGTCTGTGTGTCGTATATAGAACTGAATAGAACTAGCTCTTGTGGCTTGTCTTGGGCCAGCATCCATTTCTGCTAGTCTGGGAGGTTGACTACCTTGCCTTGTTCGTCTTGATATACTTGCTCCTCGTCTATCTAACTATCTTGTTCAAGTCCCTTATAACCTTGCTCATTCGGACCAATCGATCAACAAGCACGATTCTGTCCTCATATGTCGGGTTTCCTCCCTCTTCGTTTTCGTTTTCGTTTTCGTTTTCGTTTTCATCTCCTTCCTCGTCTTCGTATCGTATCCACGTTAATTGACGTTTGCGTCAATCCACCCGGTTAATCCCTCCATCCACACATCCCTGGCACTAACGTGAACCCCTCTCACGAATCCTAACCATCAAAGGATCCCTGATCCTGGCGAAGAAGTAACTTTTCGACACGGGGATTTCGGGCAGTTTCTTGGCGGTGTTGCCGCCAAAGCCGGTGTCGGTGGTGATAAGCTCGACGTCAAAGTACAGCAAGAGTGTGCCGACGAGTTTGACCAGCTACAGCCCCATGGAAGAGTTTGTGCGTTAGTTTGGTAAGTGCTAGGCAAGGCTTCGGAGGCAGGCAGTGGAATCTAGAAAAAGGGGGAAGGGAGTGGGAGTACTCACCTCCATCATGGCGACGTTCTTGCCGATACACTGCCTCGACCCGTGGCCAAAGGGCATCCAGTACCGCTGCATCTCTTCGGGAGTGATCCCGCCAGACCCGTGAACCCAGCGGTCGGGGTTGAACATCGCAGCGTCGGGACCGAACGTCTCCTGGTTCAGATGGACCGGTAGGGCGGACATTCCGACAATCGTCTACCATTACCATTTCCATTAGAGACCGGAATCGCAAATGCCATTTCCGAATATAAAAGGGCTAAAACATACCTTGGCAGGGAAATACGTCCCGGCAACGACGCGCCCTCCCTCTGGCACGTACCGTGGGAGGTTGATCGTCGCAGGGGGAGTCAGTCGAAGACTCTCCTTGATCACGGCTTGCAGGTACGGCAATTTGCCAAAGTCGGCATATGTCGGGGGTGTCTCGTCAGTCTTGTAGTCACGTTCGGGAAACGCGGTTCGCAGCTCCTTGGTCAGGTTCTCATAGACGGCGGGATGGCCGAGGATGTGATAGAATGTATAGCTCAGAGCCGACGACGTCGAGTCACTCCCCGCGACGCTGTGTTGGTCTAGTTAGCGCGAGGCAACAAGAGGTCCGATAATGAATGATGGAGAAACGTACATGCTGGAGAAGGCTTCGGTCCGCAAATCAATCGAGTCGAGCATTTGACCAGTCACCGGATCCTTGGCCTCGATGAGTCTGCCGAGAAGATCTTTCCGGTCGCTGACTTTCTCCTGTCTCCGTTCGACGCGAGACCTCGTAAGCTACAGGGGATAGTTAGCCAGTTGCACAGACAGAGGGGGGGTTTTTGTTTTTGGCTGTCTGACCTCCTTCAACCTCTCACGACCCGCTTGCAGACTCTGCAGCCACGGAATCGGCAGCCAGGTCCACTTGGTATATGGAATCAGGGACGGCATCATTCCAATCGTCGACCCAAACTCCATCTGATTGTTGATGAGACGGATATGTTCGTCCTCGACTCCTGTTTCGAGCATGCCGAATCCCTCGCTAAACGCCTACAATCGCCAAACAATCAGTCACACGTCTGGGACAGGCACAACCAGACGTCTGAGACATACCAACTCTCCGATAACATCGAAGGCGAAGAAGTGGCACCACTTCCCCAGGTTGATCTCAGCTCCAGACTTTGCAAACGCCGACATCTTGCTCATAAAGATCTGGAGACGCTCCTGGACAAACTTTTCCATAGACTGGAGTGCATTCATGCTGTACCCGTGAGACACGATGCGTTTGCGCTGGGCATGCAGGTACGGGTCTCTTTGACCAAAAATGGTCGGTCGGAAGGCGGTAAATGCACTTTCCCAATCCTTTAGCGTTGCCATCTGCATCGCGCGTCTTCAAACTTACTCGTAGTATGTCGTCTGTCACGGTCAGATACTTGACATCGTTTCGGGCCAGCTGCTCACGTACCTTCAAAAAGTCTCTGCCTTGCACGGTGTTGTATATCTCGCGAATCGCCGACTTGTCAGATATAATCACCTCGTTGGGCGCGATGCGGACGATGGGTCCGTATTGTTCGTGCAGGGCCAGAATTGTCTCGTGGAAATTACCGTTGTTGAATGCCAGCAACTTCCAAAGCGGGCTGAGTGACGCCCAGAACGGTCCGTTGACCTTGGCCAAAGGCGACAGCCATCGCTGGTAGACGACGAATGCGAAGGTGCATACGAATACACCTGCCACAGGAATCATCCAAGAGAACTGGCGCACGAAATCAACAACCTGGGCAGCCACAGAGGCCGCTCGTCCATGCATTCTGAGGGTCTTTGGGTCCCGTGTACACTTTGTTATCGCTTGTTTTTAGTGGCCTCCGTGCTTTTAATATGCCGAGACATGTTGCAAAGGGGCGGTGGTCCTTCTCCTCTTCCAGGGCGTCGGTTCCCAGCCGCGGCTTCCCACGGCTCCATTCCGATCGGATACTTGCAAGGTCCACGCAGCCTTGAAGATCCACACGTTGAGTCGTCGCTTAAGTCTCCAAAAATGTGGCAACGAACTCCAAGAAAGTTGGAGACTCCGCACCAGCCTTTTCGTAATCTGGCAGGAAGCATTGGTGGCAGGGCTCGTTGCTGGCATGGTAGAAACGACTAGCTGGTCACAGGGGGTCAAAGCCGGACCAATCAGCCGAAAGAAGATCCCTCGGAAGACCAGTTCCAAAGAGCAAGTCGTCAAAGTCGATAAGATCCGAGCTGAGCAGCAATTGACCTTCGTCTTGTGGTCGCTGCAAGGGAGTCCTGTCTGCCGGCAGCAATGCCGGGTCCGAATTATCCGGATGATGCTGTGTTAGATGGCCTTGACTAGAGGGCTGACCGGGAAGGGGAGTCTCCCGACCACTCGCTTGAGTCTGGATGCGCTCGAGCAGGATCAGGTACCTCGATGCCAGCGTGCTGGTACTGCTGGCCACCTTTAAAAATTCCATGCCTAGCTCCAGGGTTTCGTCCAGCCCGATCTGACCCAGCGCTTCTAGCTTCCATCTTTCCATCGTCTGTAACGTCAAGAGCACTCCGATAGCAGTAAATACGTCTGTAGATGTTAGTCGAGACTCAGTGTGCGTGGGCGGTGCCTTACAGTGGAGATTGTACCACAGAGAATTCAGCAGCCCACGACGATACTGAGAGTAGATGACCCTGATAGTCTCGCGGGCAGCTAATATACAACGGTTGCATGAAGCAATGGCCACATCTCTGTGGAAACTGTCTTCGATTTCTTGTCGACTGAATATCAGAAATGACTGACGATGGAGCAACAGCCGGACATTCAAAAACCTGCATTTAGATCAGTGACTCATTCGATAGTCCTGTAGTGGCTTGCATACCGAATGTACATGACATTGCGCTGTCGCTGGAAATCAGGGCCGTCCGGATAGTCAGGCTCGTCTTTCAGATGGGATGGGTTGCCATTCCACCAGGACAGTAGTTCCCCATCCAATAGCACCGAGTGGCCAAATATCTCGGTGAAGTGATCCTGCTTGTTAGGAGACGGCACCGTCGAAGTCCACGGTTTTGTCGACGAAGAGTACAGTTTGAGGAGGACGCTGTCAATGATATGTGCGAGTTTGATCGTCCGAATGAAAAAGGACGTCAATGACGGACGATTCGCAGGCTGCCGAGGCGTAATCGAGTCGTTCATGATATATTGATCGTCGACGGGCAACGGAAGCTCGACATCTGACGCATTCCCCGTGGGGATGGAAGGTGGCCTGCCAAACTTCATGCTCAAAGTGCGGTCAATCACAAAGCAACCCCACCACACACGTTTCCTGACTTCTCTTTCGACGGCGGACATGGCAGGGGAAGGGTTGAGGTGGAGACCAATGCTGATGGAGGTTCTGATCATGAGTCCGCTCAGGCTCCAGCATTCAGTCAGCTCCAGAGTGCCTTGGAGGTAGTGGCACATCAAAAGGAGGGCCTGGACGAGCTCCAAATTCCCTTCCTTGAAGATGTGCGCAAACACAATGTTTCGAGCCCGTACGAGGAATCTCGTTGCCGAATGTGAGGCACTTCTCCCTTCGATGGGATCGTGAAACTCGCACCCATGAACGAAAATGAGATTGAGAACCGCCAGCCAGGTGGCTTTCGTGTCAGAGTGATCCCCGTCGCTGGTCCACATTCGTTCGTATTGAGTTCTGAAGCTTGGCTCGTGAACAAAGGGGTAGAGGCGATGCACGTGGTTGAAGTACAAGTCCACAAGGCTGTCCGCAAGGTCTTTCGAGGGAAGTCCATACGTGTCCTCGCAGTCTCGGGGGGTCAGGCCGGGATCGAGACTGTGAGTCTGAGAGCTGCGTGAACTCGATAGGCGGCGGCGTTTATTCGCGGGCGTGAGGGCCTGTCGCGGTGCATTCGTCGTTTGAACCTTGGAGACGAAGGCGAAGGTCGACGACTCTCCGAAGAACGCCTCGGGGTCTTGAGGTTCTGACGGACTAGTGGAGAGGGGCGTCTGGACGCTTGTAACTTTGTGCTGGATTGTGACATCGGCGGCCGGAGCAGCAGCGGCGGCGGCGGCATCATCATCGTCGTCTTCAAAGAAGGGAGTTTGCTGAACCTGTTCCTGACATTCGCTGACAATTCCAACATTGGTTCGCGCCTTGAGGTCTACCAGCGATCTGAGCCTGAAAAGGAGTCAGACATGGACTGAAATAAAACAGGGCATCCGGCGCTTTACTCGTCAAGGCTGAGCTCGTCCACCAAGGAGGGATACATGCAGCGAATCCCTCGACTTTGGCAGGACGAACAATTTGGGCGGCCTCCATCGCATCGATTTTTCCTCCTTCGGCAGCTTGTGCATGCTTTCCCAGAGGCAAGTCTCTTCTTCAGCGGTGGATCCGCCATATCAAAAGGAATAGAATGGCTCTGATGCCGTGTTTGCAAAGCACTGTGCTTGGGCCGGGATGGTCTCTGTGCTGCTATAGATATCCATTCACGTAGAAATCTCCCATTCGCCCGGTGTTTCGCTTATGGTCAATGTGGTGAAGAAGATGTGGTGGTAACAAAAGCAAATGCAAAACCCCGCAAGAATTCAAGGATTGAGAATCCGGGGAAAATGCGGCACTTTGGGGGTTGCACGTGACGGGATCATGCATGGGGCTGGGGTGAAAGACCAGGTTCAGGGGTTTCTTGTCAGAGAAGATGATGTGTTTCTACGTTTCTCTTGATGTGCTGTCTAATTATATTGCATGAACTGCATAGGGCGAGAACCCCTTGATCACCAAGAAGAGCCCTAAGACGAGACAACGAATATCCATCGTTCGACTCCTTTGATACTCCCCCGTCATTCGTAAGTAGCCGGTCATTGAACCCGGTCTACCACGGTATGTAGATCTCTTATACCGTATCACATCTAAATCTGCATCCAGCAACCCAAAATATTCGCACAAGGTTAAATATCCTTGTGGAATTGCGGCTGACCGATCCGCTTCCTCCACTCCTCACCCTTGAATATCAAAACAACAATCCCCATGGATGTCACCGCCGTCAAAAGAGCAAGCGTGATCCAAGCCCACTGGATGGTGATCTCGTCTGCGAACGGGAGACTGTAGATGTCAGTCTGAATCTCTCCCAAACCCCAGGATCAAGAAGGAACTTACGCGTAAAAGCCGAGAGGAAACGCAAACGTCTGTCGCCAAAAGTTGTACAGGCTGCTGATCTCCCCGGACTGCGGCTTGTAGCAGTCGCTGCAGTAGGCGTAGCTGACTGTGGTGACCAGCTGTAGGCCGAAGCTGGCGATCGCCATTCCCATCACAGGGCCCATCCAGTGGGTCTTGTGGTACAGGCAGACGCCGTAGACGATGATTCCTGTAGGGCAAAGCAGGAGGCTTCCAAGAGACGCGGGCAGTCGGGCTTCAGGCTTTCTCTCTCCTCCGTGTTTCTTCGCATATCGGTACATGAACCAGTCCGAAAAGGGTCCGGAGAGAAACTCCCCAAGAGCCGAGCCGATCAGCAGGGGGAGGCCGAGCATGAGTCCAATAGCTCCGGTCTTGAAATGGTAGATCTTGGTGAACAGAATGGCGACTGTCACTGCTGGTAGGATGGAGGAGAAGGCGAACGAGACAATGTAGTAGAGACACGTGAGGAACACTGAGGGATAGTACATCATCTCAAAGGGTCGCACGAAATCTCGCAGGTGGACTCTTCGGTCTCGGAGCGCGTTTCTGCGGAAGCTGAAGAGCATCTGCATGTAGGTCCTCTCTTCGTGCTGTGCAAGCACCTTCTCGGAGCGGGAAAACAGGGTTTCAGGCATGGCGAAGACCATGACGACAAAGGTCACAGAGTTGACGATGGCCGGGAAGTAATATGCCCAGCGAACCCCGGCGGTCTGTACCAGGTAGCCTCCAATCACTGGGGCAACATGAGCACCGTTGGTCAAGAAGACAGTAAAGATGCCCATCTTCAAGCCTCTCTAAATCTTGTGTTAGTATGTGCTCGAACCAGGGGGATTTTAAGCGATTGTGGTGCGGTACCTCATGTAGAAAGAACAAGTCGTTGACGGTGGCAGCACCCAGAGCCATCGCTGCGCCGACACCAACGCCACTGAAAACCCGAGCAATGATCAAAGTATGCCATGTTTTCGCGACGCCGCTGCCGACCGTTGCAACGATTCCGATGAGGGTCGAGATGAGATACACGGGTCGTCTCCCATAGACATTGGCCAGCGGTGTCCAGAACAATGGCGAAATGCCCACAGAGATGATGACCGAGGTCGTCTGGTACGACGCCTGGCCGACAGGGATGTGGAACAGCTTTGCGAGCGGCACCAATCCAGGGTTGACGACAGCCGAATTGAACGGCCCCAGCATGGCGAGGAATGAAACCTGGAGGAGCACGAGCCATTTCAGCCATGATGGCCAGTTCTGCCGAGATCGTGTCAGTGAGCTGAATAACCTCAGATAATAGAAACTTTTTTGCCTCTTACCAGGGGGTCGTCGCGAAAACGAGTCGGCTGGGGGAGAAGAGGAAATCCATGACGATCGCGTCGAACATCATCCGGCTTCTCTGAGACGGCGTTTTCAATCGCCTGTTCAGAGCCGTCTTTGGAGACCACAACATGGACTTTGTCGTCCGAATCCATTGTGAGAAGCAGATGTGAGTGCTTGCTGTGAACCTGTGAGCCTGGGGGTTAGGGATGCAGCATTTCAAACACATGCCATTCTGTGGGGTATTATACCTCGTGGACTCACCAGCCCCAGAGTCTCACCCCGGCATTGACAGGATGAGTTTTGTCGGAATGAGCCGCGGATCTTATAAAGTGGCGCCGACAAACTGGGGGCCCGGATCGAGACATTTCCCTGTTCAGTGGTGGCCCAGACCCTGTGTCTCACGGCGCCTCGCTCCGGAAACTGCCCGAAGACACATTGGAGACCCCGGGATTGGAGGCAGGCTGAAGCACGTAGAATGTACAAAAAGAGCAAGTGAGCAAACAACAGGGGGAGAATACCCTCCCACCACTGGATGAAAGGCTCGACATAGCCACAGTGACGACAAGATGGTGCTCAAGCTGTCCTTTGCCTGTTGGGATTACGACCGGATGAAAGCCATTGAAGATGGCAGAGTGCGGCCAGAAGGAATCGAGCTCACATTTCTCAATTATCGGGTCGAGGAGACGTATGCATTTATCCTATCACCTTTTCAGCAGTCAAACCCGTTGTGACGAGGGATATGGAGTGACTGATATGGATGGGCTAGGACAGCTTCTTCCGCCAACTTCGATTCAAGGAATTCGATCTTTCTGAACTCTCCTTGTCCTCGTATGTCCTGACATTGAATCAAGACAACCCGCCGTTCATCGCTCTGCCAGTCTTCCCGTCTCGCTTCTTCCGCCACCAGTCGATGTACATCAACTCCAAAGCCGGCATCAAGAGACCGGAGGATCTGCGTGGGAAACGCATTGGAACTCCAGAGTATCAAAGTCGGTATCTCCAGATCGCGACTCCTCCCACCCACCCATCCAAGAGAGATTAGCCCTTTCCTAATGATTTCTGCAAACCACAGTGACAGCAGCAGTCTGGCAACGCGGGATCCTAGCAGAAGACTTTGGGGTGCCTTTGTCCAGTGTGCACTTCTACACTGGTGCCATTGAACCGTCGGACAAACCCCGACATTCCAAGGTCTCACACGCTTACCCGGCCGACATCAAAGTGACCGCGATCCAGCCCGGACAGAATCTATCTCAGATGCTCGCCGACGGGGAGATCGACGCCATCTTCAGCGCCACCAAGCCCTCGTCGTTCGACACGTCGCCAGAAACCGTCACCAGGCTGTTCGACGACTTCAAAGCCATCGAAGCCGAGTACTATGCCCGCACCAAGATATTTCCAATCATGCATGTCGTGGCCCTGAAGCGCAGCGTCTATGACGCCAACCCGTGGATCGCGAAGAGCCTGACCAAGGCCTTTGCCCGAAGTCTGGAGATGGCATACGAGCCGTTGAAGGAGCGGGCCGCGTTGCGGTACATTTTACCGTGGCTGGAGGACCATGTGGAGGAGACGAAGAGGCTGATGGGCGGCGACGATCGCTGGTGGAAAGATGGCTTCGAGGCCAACAGGCATGTGCTGGACAAGTTCTTGCAGTATTCCTTTGATCAGGGATTGGCACAGAGGAGATTTCAACCCGAGGAGCTGTTTGCCCCCAGCACGCTCGAGGACTATGTACTGTGACTTGTCAAAATGCGGAAGTGGTTCTTCGAAGCTGGGCTGGATGTCTTTCGCCTCTGGTTTATCACAGTAGAGAAACATCCTACTAACCGATCACAACAAAGGTCCTCCTTCTCACCGACTGCTCTGGAGGATCGGGAGTGCCTCAGGGTCCTCGAGCCTGACCTCGTATTCGTACAACGGCTGATTGAACCCCAAACAGCCCCAATAACTCAAGCCTTTGAACGTCTTGTGCCGTACAAAAGCGGGATAATTGATTGGTTCCACATCGTATCCGAGGTTGAGAAGCAGGCTCGGCGAATCATCCCCACGGACAAGTACCTCCGGCATGGCCATCCTGGATTTGTTCACAGTCACGGGTCGCTGCGTGGCTGCTAAACCCCATATCAAAGCTGTAACAGAGCAGAATGAAGACCTACACTCGTGAATGCTCCCACCAAGCATCGGATGGGAGCAAGACGCACCTGTTAAGTCCTTTGTAGATGGATGGTGGATGCAAATGTCTTCTGCCCTGGCGTGCCTGGTTAAGCTGGTGACGCCCAATCTCAAGTAGTGCAACCCCTAGGCCACCAGCACAAAAAAAGCTTCCTAGCCAATGGGCCGCCCTTGGAGCGGCCTATGGCTGGCCCAGTCCGCTACTTATAGTTGCCAAGTAAGACTTAAAACCTCTGTACGAGAGGTACTCCGTACTTCTTAGCACCGTCTTTCTGGGGGCTTCGCTTGAACTTTGGAGTCTGGGGAACTTGGGTCAACGGACCACATGAAAGCACCCCGCAAAATCCACCTGATGGCAACATCCTGCCAGCCTGCTTTCTCAAAAGACCCTATTACCATCCTTCCATGCAGCGGTTGATTGTTCAATTGACAATCAAATTACTTTCCACAACCAACCGACGTCACACCTCTAGAGTCTAGGCTTCTCATCAATTGCGCGAGGTTGGCTCCCTGATATGTAAAAAGATGGAGAATGGAGCCCAGGGTTCCCAAAAACGACACGCTCGTCTAGCCTGTTTGCAGTGCCGCAAGAAGAAGATAAGGGTGAGTGAGTGAGTCCTCTCTGGACTCCCGACCGTGTTCCTGGAATCCAATGGCCGAAGAAGCTAAAGGGGATGTTAAAGTGCGATAATGGGCATCCCAA